TAATTTTTTTAAATGTATAGATTGATGTGTGAGATGCACTTTTTAAATTGCCTAAAGAAAGATTAATTTTAATATAAGCAAAAACTGACATGATCATTCAAATTAAAAGAGAAGAAGTTCATAGTGTTTAGATTATAAATAAAAACAGATTTTAAGTATTGAATATATAGCATCATTAGTAAGCTATTTAAAACAGCTAAACCAAATAAAACCGTACTGATACTTTATTTAGTTTAGGGTTTAGCTATTAGACAATAATTATTTTCTAATTGAACAAAAAAGAGTGTTTGGATTATAGATAAAACAGTTATCAGGCTAATAGTTGAACAAAATTAATTTTTTTTTTTTTGTTTGTTACACAATATTGTAGCATGACATATTTGATTTTTTTAAATTTAATTACCATGTTGATGATGAATTCCAATCAATGGAATCTTCTTCTGATACCTTGTGCTTGCAGCTGACATGTGAGAATATTGGAAAATTGTTTGCAAGCTTAGAAAAAGGGCCTACACTAGATACCATGAAAAGTTTGTATGAGGGGGTTATGCAAGGAATCAGGGCTATGCCACTGAAATTTCCGGGAACAGCCTTTCACCACGCCTTTCAGGTTGGATCAAAACGCCATGTATGCTAGTAATTACTTTATTATGAGCACCGGGTTCATGCTAATGTATTTCTCTAAATATATGTCACAGTGTAAGAAGAAGATTGAGGCTATATTAAGGGAGTAGCTAGAAAAAAAGAAAAAGAATATGCATGATGGAATTCAGAAGACTAATGACCTAATGGGCTGATGCAAATGAAAAACAAAAAAGGCAATCAATTAAGTGACCAGGAAGTGCTAGACAACAATGTGGTTCTTATTATTGGTGGGTATGAAACTACTACCCTTGCATCAATGTGGGCTGTCCATTATCTTGCCAAGTTTCCTGATGTGCTCAAAAAGTTGTGGGTATGGCCCTCTGATACATAATTATAATCCAAGGATAATCTCCATTTTGAGACTAATCTTTGGTATTCTCCTATGATAGGAGGAAAATATGGATCTCGGAAAGAGCAAGTGAGGCAACTTCCTGACACATGAAGATGTTTCTAACTTCTAAGTTAAAGTACACAAACAAGGTTAGATTGCATTAAGAGGAAAGTGTTTCTTCAATTTGGCAAGGGTTATGGTTGTTTATACTGATATTTTTTTATCGGTCTAGATCTAAATTGGAAAATACTAATCACTTGCTTTAATTATTGCTTAATTTGTTTTCCTTTGAGGTCTTCTAATATAGTTATAGTAACGAGTGGACAAACTTCCCGGATTAAATTGTTTGTGCACAGGTTGTGGAAGAAACAATAAGAATGGCAAACATTGTTGTATTTGTTTTTAGATTAGTTTCAAAAGAGGTTGAATTTCAAGGTATGAAGCTAAACTTATTATACAGCTTACAAGCAGACATTCATGCTTATCTCCAATCAAACTGTCATGGACTAATGTAAAACTGCAGGTTATAAAATACCGAAGAACCGGAAAGTCATTCTGTGGCTTCGATATCTCCACATGAATCCAGAAACCTTTGAGGATCCTCTGTGCTTTGATCCTGAGAGATGGAATGTAAGCATCAATATTCCCAGTATTAACAAAGATCATTCGTTTAGCTAAAACGAGCCTGATGCTTTTTTCTTGATTGTCTTGATTAGGAGCCAATGAAGCCAGTTGTTTTTATGGCTTTTGGTGGTGGGGTTAGAATCTGTGCTGGAAACATGCTTGCTCGGATGCAACTTGTGTTCTTTCTTCGCCATTTATCAGCTGGATACAAGTAATATCAATCTATCTATAACGTTTCATAATGCGATACATAATGCTTGTATATATATGACCCTTGATTGATTTCTTGTTGTATGTAATTTCAGGTGGGAACTACTTAATCCAGCTGCAGAGATGCCTTATCTCCCAAATCCAAGGCCAGTTGACGGAGTTGAGGTTTCGATCAGTGCAATCTAGAAAGCTTGTTTAATGTAGTGATTAAACGTTTTGGTTGAATGCAACAATGTAAGATATAAGATTAATGACTCCTTTTGTTTCTGTCATTTTTGTTTCTTGGATTTTTAATATATGGTACATGAGTTAGGGACTCCTTGAAGTAGGAAATGATAAGGTCTTTGTTCTGGAATTCTGGTTGTTGAATTACTACTTTGTTCTATACCCTCCTTGTAACATTCTCTTCCTTTGTATTTCATCAGAAATTCTTCTCTATATAATATGGTATTAGAGTCTTTTGCATCTCAAACACTTCTGAAATTTTAGCTTGAAAATGTCATTTTCCGTTTTACTTTCAAGTTGTAAATTTTCTTTTATTTTTCCTTTCTGTTAGTGGGAAAGAATTTGAGAAAGGAAAGGATTATCAATCACATTATCCAATGGTTGGTGAGGATCAATATGATGCACATTGGCTGCAGGCTTACTATCTTTCTGCATCATCTCATCAGTGTGGGCTGAAAGTGAATAAAAAGCTTCTTACTTTTCTTTTTCAAATTATCTTTTTTTTTTATTAGAGAGTTTAGTATTTTATAATTTAAATTATATAATTAAAGAGTTTAATATTTTTTTATGGGTTTTTCATCTATTTGTGAAAATTATTAGGTGGGAATTGATAAATCCTGGTGCCAAGGTGGTTACCTACCATATCCCAAGCCTGTGGGTGAAGTCAAGATATCCATCACCAAGATTTAAAATTTGTGATTGCTTCTTGTTATATTAGTACGGGATTTTTAAATATGTTTGTTTAAAGATAACTTTTTTATTTTTTGAACAATTGATCATGGGGTGGATCGAACCCACTCAGGGGAAGGGAATGCATCTTTCATCATGGTAGTTACCACTAGGCTTGAAGGCCAAGTGCGTTTAAAAATATATTTTTGTCATATATATATGAAAAAAATATAAAAATTAACATTAATTTTATTGTTAATGATAAATAAATGAATTTAATTAAATAATTAATAAATTAAATGTCTAATTTTTATTTTTTAATATAAATTTAATAAAAGATATATTTATTATACCTTTAATATAATTCTTAAGATACATGGTAACAACCCTTATGAGTATATAAATTTGTCTAATTTATTCCTTAGAACATAAATTAAGGGTGTAATAAATTACTTTTTTTAATTAATTCACATAAAAAGTTAATATATATTTTAATATCATTAGTACATGAATGATTTTAATTGATTAATTGTTTGAACTAAAGTCAAAATTTATATTTTTAATAAAAAAATTAATTATAAAAAAATACATCTATTATATTCTTAACTTGTATTTTAAGAATACAAATGAAAAAAATCCTTAATACATTATCTATGTATCTTTCATTCTGTTCTAATTAAAGTGCTCTTTTTCAAATTCCCACTCGTAGTTTTTTCATCGGTGTAGTTAGTTGGTTGTAGTTCTAGGTTTTGACAAAGTTCATATGAATCATCAGATTCAAAATGTGACGACCCTTTGCTTGAATTACAAATTTGTGAACATAGAAACTTCTTATGATTACTGGAGTGGGGACATTAGACCAAAGGTGTTTCAATGGGCCCTTTCTGCCCCCTCCTCCCTCCCGTTGGTCTAAATTCAAATCAATTTTCCTATTTCTTTATTTTCTTAAAAAAAATCCCTCCCGGATCCTTCAGCTGTCTACTTCATAAAAAGATAAATGGCTAAGTACGATCAGTAACCTCCTCCTCCAGGCCACCTAAGTTCAAAGAAAGTTGTTATGTATAAAATTTTTAAAAAGAAAAAGAAAAAGAAAACCATTGATAAGAGTGAATAATTTTTTAAATAAGTAAGGATTTTTCTATTTTAAGTCCTTAAATTTGAAGTCAAAGGTATATATATTGTATTTTTTTATAATTAATTTATATAAAAAATATAAATGATGATTTATTCTTAATTAATTGATTAATTAAAATTATCTTTGTAGCAATTGTATTAAAATAAAAATCAATTTTTTATTTTTTATATAAATGAATTATAAAAATATATATTTATTATACTTTTAATATATATTCTAAAAA